ATATTTCGAGTTTGATGAGACACATTAGTTCAGTTTAGCTGTGCATCCATGGGCACAAGAATTGGACCAAACTATGACAATATATTTATGAGACTTATTAAAAGCCAATCTATACCAAAAAAATAGAAGCCATTTTACTACAAGCGGTTCATTGACGGCATTTTTATATTCTGGCTTCCTAGTAAATCGCAACTTTTCTCTTTTATAGCAGCTTTCAACGACGCTCATTCGAGAATTTTTTTCTCGTATTTGCATTTGCCTGTCAACATAAACTTCTTTGATGTCATGGTCACTGTACGTGATGGGAAGCTCATAACTAATCTCTACAAGAAACCCATCGATCTACAGCAGTATCTTAATTTGAGTAGTAATCATGTTCAACTGAATATTTGTAGTATTGCCTACAGCCAAGAAGTCCGTTTTAGAAGGATATGCTCTGTTAGACGTGAATTTTCCCGCAACTGTGAGCAACTTCGAAGCGCGTTTGAAAAACAGTTATCCGTCCTGTATAATCACAGATGCTATCAAATGCGCAGAAGAGCTCGATTATTCAGATCTTCTGGGTGCTGACAAAAGATGGAAAGAGAGTTCACTAATAACATAATTTTGACACAAGCGGCCTCAGCTCCAAACGCCAACCATATTTCAAAGAAACATTTAGACATTTTATTGCAGAGCGAGCGGTTGAAAGAAATCTTCACGGAAGAACCCCGCGTGGTCTACGGACGATCGCGGAACCTCCATGATTTACTTACTTTATGTACAACCCCACGTTCATGTCATGAAGGCTGTCATAACCACAAAAAACCTATTGCAACAGGTGTGCGCACATGACCATATACAAAACAGTATCAAGTATTTATGCAAATTTTCACTAACAATCAGCGGTGACTACACTTGTGACAGTGGCAATGTTGTATATCTCCGAGAGAGTATAACAATTCAAGCTCAATGCATACGTCAAACAAAAACTAGTTTCAGAATTCGTTTTGATAATCATCGTGCACACGCCGTAAGCCTGCCAGGTCAACTGTCGTGCCAGCATAACAGTATGCCTGGCCATGGTATCGATAAAATTAGGGCTACCATTATCCAGTCCGGCTTTAAAACGAACCATTATAGATATTGCTTGTGGTATCAATAAAAACGTGAAAAAAATTTACCTGTCTTGAAACAAAATAACATGGCTATTTATATATTACTTTATTTGCTCGGGATGGTGGTTCCATTTGCAGCGGGATTTTTCTTTTTTTTTTGCACATGTCATGCAATCCGCACCGTGCACCACGTTGTTGATACGTAAGGAACATTTCAAACGTGTATATTCACGTACCTATCAAGCTTGTCACCTTAACAGTCTTTTTAAACCGATATCAATTGCTATTTTATTGCCAATGTACTAACTGCTGTACTTATTGTTCGACACGTGAGCCCATAAAAGCGGCTACATTGTAACAGACCTATGTACTTTGTGGAAGGTAATTTTGTTTCACGCCCGCAGGTGTGTTACGCGAACAGAATGGACACGAGACACCATATGCAAATACTCAAATTAATGTCATAATTGCCAATACATCATGAATATGAATGCTTCATACAAATATCAGAATGCAAGTGACACCTTAAACAAAATAGACAACTCAATTCACCGAACACAACAATCGTCTCAATTGAAAGTATAAGACAGTGCATACAGAACTATAGCTCACAGATTATTGTCCATTATCCAACGCTATGCAGTGATAACCAATGTTCGTTGCTCGGTGGCTTTCCAGTGGTGGTTTGCAGCTCCAAATCAATGTTGACGACGGTTGCGACCGACAGAGTTGGTGATATCAACGCTTGGCCTCGCGCGAAGATACGGGCCGCTTCCTCCGTGCGTGCCTGTTAGCACCTGCCTGATCCGAATTTCAGCTTGAATCTCCTCCAACTCACGCTCTCTGCCCTGGGGTCATCCGACACCGGCCCAGGACACGGCCATTTCTGGTTTCTCCCATCAAAAGCCAGACGCCCAGTGCCGGAGCACTTTTGTATAAGTCTATTGTTTGAATTCCGAGCGCCTGGGGATGGTCTTTGAATTGTGTCTTGTTGGACGATTGCGTCTAGCTGCTGCCTTATGGGCAAGCATCTTGTGTCTTCCAGGAAAGCATTCCAATCACTACATGCTTACTCTGACGAAGGCCGTACCATGGCTGAAACTTTAGTAAAAGCATTTCTTGTTGTATAGTGTGCTACCTTCAACTTCACTCCAGTACAAGACCTTTACGTCAGCCGAGAAGGCTTCAAATCCTTTACCAGAGTTGGCTTCTATGAATGTGGAAACGTCCTTAGAATCTTTTGTCATGACGGGATCATTTATCTCTAGCAGGTCTAGCTTGTCTAAAAGATAACTTGCAATAGCCTTCTGCCACGTGACCTTTTCCGATACAATTACTCTAAATGTAACGCATTTTTTCTGCGTCTTGGCACTAAAAATTACATCAAGGCTGATATTTCTACTTTTTCCGATTCCTTTGAATACGCTACTTAGCTTCATGTCACGGCACAACACGACAGCTCGGCTGTTCACTTTCCGACGAAGTTCCTTTGTGTTCCCAGAGCACAGCATTTACAGTATCGCTTGCTTTCTTCTCGTAGCTACTACAAGAAAAAACTGCGAATCCCCCTTTCTTATCTGCTGGTACAGAGCATTTATAGCAAGGTAATTTCGAATGGTGAGGATCACATTTCCTAAGAATCTCACTCCCTCAGAGTTCGTTCTTATGCCTTCCTCTTCTGGTAGACGCCTGGAAATCTGCCACACCAGCGAGAGTAGCCCGGTTTAGTCCTATTTGTTTCAGTGGCGAACTTGGGTCCTCGTTCCAAGACCTGATGCACTTTATCCGGCAAGGAAAAACATTCGGGAACGTGCACCGTATACCTTTGTCGTTCAACGAGTTGTTACCTCGGAGCTGCCACAGCTGTTGTTGCCACAGGTACTCCGTTATTTGATCGGCAAGGTTCAGGTACCTCTGGATTTGTACACTCGCCGTTCTTTGTTCATACGCACAGTGCAGCTGCGTGCCGACGTGAGTCTTTAGTCGAGGTAAGTCAGGCGTGTCGCTGCCACTCAGCACGTGAGAATTCACGTATCTGCGCAAGCCTTCAGATTATATTTGCATGTGTGTATATATGCGTACACATGCATTTATATTTGTTTTTGCTTTATTCACCGTGCTCACATTAGTGTCACTCGTGAGACAAGTGCATAAATGTTCCTGGTTTCCGAGAAGAAATTATATGTTGGAAGTTAGCACTCCGTCTGTATAGATGTGCCTTTGTTTATTGTTGTCCTTTAGGTGGGCTACAGATAAACTTACTGAAAATGCGTTACTTAGTAGCCCGCATCACCTCTTTCGTGAAAAAACACAGCAACGGTGGTTACGTAGGAAAGCCGGAAAAGCAGTAAGGCACCCCGTGAATCCTAGACCGTGTCGGCATGCTGACGGCTTCCCTATGCTTACGGAGGACCACTGACAATCACAACATGCGTTTCGTGTGGACTTTTCGTCGTCATTATTTGAGACACAAATGAACAATATGTTAGGTGTCCACTGTTCGTGGTGTATTACGGAGCGATGTCGATATGTGTATACTTACAGCGACGATACCGCTCGCAGGCCACTCACTGTGCGCCGCCGGCCGCACGATGATTCATACCCGCGCATGCCTTTACGCTTGATAGTTGACAACGACGGTCACATGAAGAGAGAGACAAACCTTTATCTGTGCGCTAATGCAAGAGATGTGATTTTCACCGAAAAAAATTACATGTGACGTTTCCTTCGCGTGTACCAGCAATGCACTCACATCGCCGGCCAGCTTGACGCCGATGTCGTACAAAGCCCACTTTTGTGGCCAGTGACTGTGCGGGTGCAAGACCGCTGATGAACACCTTGCGATTGTTGGCGCAACCAGGGTTCTTCATGGTTTTAATTCAGCATATTGAAGCGAGTTATCCACAGTTTCTGTGCTCTGAGGCTTTCACTAGTTTTCAGCCCATCCATGCCAGCAGGCCGGAAACGTGAGGGCACTTACTGAATGCACTGACGTGTGTTGAGCATGTTTTCATAATAGCTTTTTATTCGTTTAATATTGCTTCGCTTTCACTGTGGCGTACAGCTGCTATAAATTGTTTTCGTGATAGCCGACCAGGCCGAGCAGTAAAGTGTAGCATCGGCAGAACGCAATCGGCGCGCAGTTGCACTTCCAGTTGGTCCCTTCGTTGTTGGGTGTTTGTGCACGACGCGCTCCCTCACTCATTTAGTGCCTGTTGTACAAACTCTTTGTTCGTTGATTCAACTACTGCAGTTAGTCCAACTTTGCATAATTGTGGCTTGTGTGTGGCCGTGATGTTATTAGGCCGAAAATAACCTCAGAGGACACCATGCTGATTATTCTAAGGCAGGCTTAGTGCTGGCATTAAAAGCTTCAAAATGAATTTAAACAGCCCGTGCCTTAAAGTATCACCAGAAAAAGTTTCTGACGCATTTATTGGATGCACGGGCGCGCTTATGCTCTCATTAGAATGACAAACAATTCAAAAGATTCCTCTGGTTTGAAAACATCAGCCAACTTTGTCGACCATCCGTGACGCGTTGCCAGGTTTCATCGTATAACCATGCAGCAAAACGCAGCGAGCTGAGGGGTGTATCTGACTTTTTCGTAGTAGTCGGCTCGTTCTAGAAGGCGTGTCACGAAAGGTCGGGGAGAACCCACGATTCGCCGAATTCGGGCCACCCTGCATAGCGATCCAGAAGTGAAATAACAAATATGCTTGGTAATGCTTTCTGACACTGACACTGATGACGCAGTCTCTATAAATGTGTCCATAAATGTGTATAAAGAAAGATCCCAATCATGCAAAAAATAAACTGAATTTATCACGATGTTTTCAAAACAAACTTTTATCGGTGGTTGACTGATAACAATGCTGATACCCTACAATTGCGTATTTGCAGCATTCTTCGTACAGTGCAAGTTGTCACCTACAGCTTCAGGTATGTATGAACGTCCGTAGCCCTCTTGGTAGTGAAGGACGGGAAATGATATGTGTTTCGTGAAGAACAGACAAATGTGCGAGGCCTACAGGGTAAAGCGCTTAACCATGTTTTCTGGTTTGTAGTTGTCAGCTTTATATCCTACAATATTGTAAACCGTCTCGCCAACCAAGCCATTTCATTTAACACTGTTTTGCACAGCCAAAAACGGGGAGTATATAGTCGTTATAACTGGACAATTCTGTTGATTGGTGAAGATAACAAATAAATATTTATTTTTACTTAAGAGCACTGTTATGACTATCAAAGGCTCAGCTCCCCATATATGAAAGGTGGCTATTTTCTGGCCTGAAATGGCCAACAATAGTTTTTTTTTTCACAGGCGGTCGTAAGTACTATCTCGCTGCAATAAAAAGTACTGCAACAACAAATTAGTTTCTATATCTCTCATTCGTTGTCCTAGCAATAGTAGAAAGTGACTTCAACACATAAGCAGTATGGTTCGCGCTAGACTGCTACATAGAAACATGCATTATTCTGGGCTCACAGCCTATATGAACAAAGTAATCTACTTGCTTCTTGTGGAGCTCAAACCGCAATAGAAGATGAAAATGAAATTTCAGCAAAATTATTTTGACAGTGCAGGCGTGACTTCCCACTTGCTCGAAGGACAAAATCTCGAAGCTTTCAGCAGGTTCCATGCAGTAAAAAGGCTTTTATAATTTAGTGGTTGTCGGCATCCGGGCGTTTCTAAAATAGCCTGTGATATTTGATCATCATTGTAAGCACATTTGGAAGCAAACTTTTTACGTTATATACACTTAGGAAAAGGTGTTTGTATTTCATATTTCGTTTTTGTATGCTATCTATGTTGCGAGACCCACACGAAGCAATCATTTTTCCACAAACGTCACTTCCGTTTGCGTTATAAAAATACACGTCTCCGAAAATGGCGTACTGAGCTCGCCATAGCGTTATCACACAAGTGATCTTCTGTTCGCCTTCAGGCGATTTCGTCCGACATACCATAATATCCGTTTCACATAGCTAATGGTTGCCCGTTTCAACGAAGTTGCAATGCGATCTTGAATGCAAGTGCCACCAACCAGATTTAAAAGCGAACATTTTTTGAGTGTGAGATCGAGACGGCTGCGGCTATAGCTTAGCGGGAATATTGGCTGAGTGAGTGCTGAGAAAATCCGCTGCCCACGAATTTGGTTGGAAAAGGTTACTCTGGCCTCACGTGTCAGTGTATGCACGGTTTTTCAATAATTGATGCTCCCTCCTTCTTATCTTTCTTGAGGATCAGCCGCTTTTAAATGGCAACGGGTGCATTTTTTTAGATCACTTTTTTTGTAATTTCACGGTACCACGTTACATTGGTGCCTTTCGCTGTTGTATTTATTTATTTTATGCACGACCGGATTTGCTGCCTGTGGCGGCTTTGGAGGCTTGCTTTGCAGAGTGGGTGCGTTGTTGAGCCGTGTAGGAGGTACAGGGTAGTGAGAGAGCAGTGTGCAACGGGAAAGAAAGAAATGAAGAGAATGAATAATTCAATGCAAAACTTTCATATTAGGTACAGCTCAGTGATCATCGAATTTTCGTTCTAAAGTTTGTAACGTTGTCATTTGGTAAGTTGTTTTACTCAAAAAACAAATAATATTTTATAAGACCACTGAAATATTGGCCAATCGCCCCCCCCCCCCCAGTAGGTATGAGCTACAAGTGAAGGCCAAGAACAAAAACAAGCACGCAAGCACCGAGCTTCCCTTTCACTCTAGGGTGTTATCATGGGCGTCGAAGCAGTCGCAAATAATAGAAAGACGGACAATAGTGAAGAAAGAAAGAGAACGAATGGAACATAATGGTAATAAAAGAAAAATACACACTTGAGCTTTGCCTGCAAGAGTGCAACGCCGTGGCGTATTCGGGACGGCGGTGGCGTGCATATTTATTTATTTATTTATTTATTGTACCCTCAGGGCCAGAGGCATTGAAGAGGGGAGTGGGTTTACAAAAAAATGGATTCAGAAGGTGAGTAAAGGGGAGTACAGGATTTAACGTTTACTGAATAATCAATTTTAGCTGATAAAGTTAGGACACAAAAGTAGAACAAAAGAGATCTAGTGTACATATTTTAAATAATCCTAGTATACAATTCTAGCTACAAAACACATCAGAACAGCAAGAACATAAAAAAACGAAAAAGGCACACGTAATAAGTAACCTCAGTTTACAATGTTTGTTAGTGCAGCGCGAAACAGCTGATAATCAGTAATCGCAGCAGTCGCTCCAGGAAGCTGGTTCCAGTCTTTGCTGGTGCGTGGGACAAAAGATTCTGAACACGTTCTTGTTTGGCATATAGGTATACCAACTTTGTGCGCATGATCGATGCGAGAGGACACGTAGGACGGTGAAAGAAAAAGATTAGCACGAAGGTGGGGGCTGTTATGGAAGATTTTATGAAGAAGGCACAGGCGAAAAAACTTACGACGAGAAGAAAGGGAAGTCAGCTGCAACGAGTTTTTCATAGCTGTAACGCTTGCTGTTCGATCGTAATCGTGTAGGATAAACCAGGCAGAGTTATTTTTGACCAGTTCGAGGGCTTTGATTAGATAAACCATGCTGGGATCCCAAACTGAAGCAGCATATTCTAATTTACTTCTAACCAAGTTCTTATACATCAGTACTTTTAGAGAGGCAGGTGAAGAAGAAAAATTGCGACGAAGATAGCCTAACATACGGTTTGCATTGTTAATAATGTTGCTTATGTGAACGGACCAGGTCAGGCAAGAAGTAATGTGCACACATAAGTACCGGTAGGATGAAACACAATCGAGTAGAACATTATTAAGATGGTACGAGGCGGGAGTGGTTGAAGTTCGACATACGCGTAAAACTTTACACTTTTTAATATTAAGGTTCATTAGGCAAAGACTGCACCAGTTTGAAATAGCGTTAAGGTCGTTTTGTATAATACTAACATCGCTTGTGTCGTTAATTTCACGAAATATCACACAATCGTCAGCGAACAGGTGTATGTTTGATGAAACGCAATCAGTGAGGTCATTGATGTAAATTAAAAATAAGAGGGGGCCCAGGACTGAGCCTTGGGGTACGCCCGAATTAACAGAACATTCTGTGGAATTATATGAGTTGGCTGCAACAAACTGTGTACGGCCACTCAAAAAGTGTTCAAGCCATTTGAACACATCACGATCAAGGTCAAGTTTCAGGAGCAGGGTTTGCTAAGTTTCAGGAGCAGGAGATTATCGGACACTTTCTCAAAGGCTTTTGCAAAATCTAAAAAAAATACAGTCCGCTTTGGAGCGACGGTCAAGAATGCGGTGAAGCTGGTGTGTAAAAGACAGTAATTGGGTTTCACATGAAAATCCCTTTCGAAAACCATGTTGTGCATCCGTGAAAAATGAATTGGATTCGAGAAACGTTACGATGCTTGTGTACAAGACATGCTTCAAGACTTTACAAGGAATGCATTCGTAAGGGATATAGGGCGGTAATTTAAAGGAGATTCTTTGCTACCTGATTTGTGAACGGCGACCACCTTACCAATTTTCCTCTGGATGGGTAGGAACCCGCTGTCAATGGATTGTTGAAAAAGTTTGGTAAGAAGAATTGAAGAATACGAGGCCGTACCTTGAAGAAATTTAGAAGTTATATGATCGACACCTGGGCTTGAAGCGGGCTTAAGTGACTATTATTTTAGAAATTCCCCGAGTGTCAATAATAATTGAATTCATGAGTGGATAATCGTGCCGCTTTGGGGAAGGAATAGATGTACTGGAAGAAACCACAAAATTACTACAAAAAAAACCTGTTCAGGAAAACCGGACACTCATTGTCGGGAATGGATTCGTCATTATGGTCCAGCAGTTTAATTGACTCAGTCGTGCTTGGATTAATTACACGCCAAAAGCTTTGAGGATTGTTTAGAAGCAGGCAAGGTAAGGTACTCTGGAAAAAGTTGGATTTTGCATTTTTGACAGCGGATACATAGGAATTGTTGGCTACTTTGTATGCAACCCACCGAGCGTTCGTGGGCAGCAGTTTCGCTTTACGGTAAAGGCGCTTCTTGCGGTTTGATAGACGTTTTAAGTAGGCATTGTACCATGGAGCTCTGGCATGCGAAGAGATTTTGCGAAGCGGGATGTATTTGTTGGTTAGCTCGTCGACTTTTCGCAGGAATAAGTTCCAGTTAGCTTCAACTGTACGATTGTCGAAATTGTCTAGAAAAATGTCAAGAAAAGTGGACAGTTCAGTGTTAATGGCATCGAAATTCGCTTTCTTATAATCACGAATTTGCTTAGTTGTCTTACATGTTTCTAGAGCTGGTACTGAGATGTCGAAAGAAAGGATTAAATGATCAGATAAACCGGGTAAATATGTCATGCACGAGACAGAGTCGGGGCGTGAGGTAAGTACGAGGTCTAGTACCGTTGCTGTGCTGTCTGTTATTCTCGACGGCGGGGTAACTAGTTGGGTAAGGGTGAAGGTTGAGCAAAGGTTCAGAAAGTCGCTAACTTGTGAGGAACTTGAATTAAACATGGGCGATTCGGAGGACCACATAATTTGAGGGAAATTAAAGTCACCTAATAAGAAATCGGGGTGCTTGGCAGGCGAGTTACTAAGGTATTAAGAACATCGTGTAAGGAGGCAGTAAAAGTTGGCGGGGCGTTAGGGGGGCGATAACATGCCGCAAAAATGAATTTCTGGTGCGCCACCTCAACACACGATAAGATAATTTCAATATCGGTTTCAACAGCAACCTGGTAAGAATCGTGTGCATTCAAAACAGCAAGCATAACGCCACCGCCTTGGCGAAGGGTACGGTCACAACGGTAAATTGTGATGCGGGACGCATCGTAAAAAATTTCCGTGTTCCGAATGTTATTATTCAGCCAAGTTTCGGTTAACGCGATAACATTAGGTCTGCACGTGTCTACGATAAAGTTAAAAGAATCAAGTTTATTAAGCACACT